GGTCGGTCTACGTTCCTACCCTCACCTATGGTCATGAAATCTGGATCTGGACCGAAAGAACGAGATCCCGGATACAAGCGGCTGAAATGAGCTTTCTCCGCAGGATGGCTGGGCTCTCCCTTAAAGAGAGGGTGAGGAGCTCGGCCATTCGGGAGAGGCTCAGTGTAGAGCCGGTTCTCCTCCGCATCTTCGGATGCCCCCTGGAGGTGTTTCAGGCACGTCCCACTGGGAGGAGGCCCAGGGGACGACCCAGGACACGCTGGAGAGACTATGTCTCTCGGCTGGCCTGGGAGCACCTAGGGCTTCCCCCAAAAGAGCTGGAGGAGGTGTCTGTGGAGAGGGAAGTCTGGGAGACTCTGCTTAGTCTGCTGCTCCCGCGACCCGGTTCCGGATAAAGCGGGAGACGACAAGTACGAGTACGATGAAGTAATAGCTACATGAACCATGACAGCAGACAAGATAGAGGAGAGCAGGAGGCGGGGTTACCAATCTACTTGCAATAGAGAGCAGAGTTCGATTTTATATGTTTTCGCCAAAGTCTCCAGTAGCAGAAAAAAGTTGATAGATTTGGCTCTAGGCGCTTTTTTGAAATAAAGCACTAGAGGGGTCTGAAAAGTCACTAAGTATAGCGACAAAAGCGTTTGGAAAGTTTGGCAAAACTGCTCTTTTCAGAGTATGTTTTCAAATTTTTTGTTGCTGTCTATTTGGACCTTTCTGCACACGCACAGCAAATAGAGTGATCCAATATGGTGGACACTGAAAAAGACACACTTGATATTTTCCGCGTTCTGATGGCATTTTAGCAAAAGGATTTTTATCAAAAACAAAATTAATATGCACAAATAAGTAATAGTGCATTAACCATACATGTAAATATGCTGATGAGGATTCTCAATCATTCAGCTTATAGTCATTCCGTAAAAGTTTAAAAAACAATCCACTGGACTTGGTTTACAAGGTTTCAAGACATTTCAGCACCTCTCCAGGAAGCTTTCTTCAAATGTCTGGATCCGCAGTGAGTTTGAGTGTTTATACAGACAGGGCCTTGTATTGCTTGGAAACATGCAAATGGAAACCGATGAATGGGTCGTTTGGTTCCATTGTTAGCCTGTAATACCTGAAACCTGTCTATAATTGTTAAGTGTCGGTCGTTAAGGAGGTATTGTTCACCGGCTGAAAAGAGGGGTACTTTGTTCCTCTGTGATGGGGTGGGGGGTGTGGTGATATCTGTACGGCATCATCTCTATAACTGAATTGTAAGTTTTTGGAAGCTGGAGTCCACCACCTCTGTTTAAAGTTGTTTTTTCTCTCTTTCTCTCTTTCTGGATAAAGAAAATAGGTGGTTTGAGAGGGGTGTGAAGGAAGCCATCTATGTTATCATGACACATTACTGCATTACTGAAATTAATTTTGTCGGAAAATTAATGAATGAGCTAACAGCACAAACAATTACTAGCTTATGATGAGGAATGACAAATATTTAATCATAACTGTTTTATTAGTATTATATGACCTTTAAAGATACTATAGAGAATAATCGCTGAACCTTGTGAGAACTGTAGTACTGTGGTACAAGTTTAAGGGAAATAATTCAGCCTTGAAAATAATTAGACACACAGTTCCTGCTACAGCTGGAGGTTCTTTACGCTGGAGGTTCTTTACGCTGCCCTGCAAGGCTTTTAAACCTGGGTTTGAATGGCGAGAAAGTCATTCTAAAGCACATATCAAGGAGCTCATTTTGAGCCTGGATCCATATTTATTTTTGATTCTGTTCATGGTGGAGAATCCTGCTTCACAGCAGCAGGTTGAGCCAAATATATTCAAAATCTGCAGCGTCACCTTCGATTACGCCATTTCACTTTTCTTTCACCAGTTCACTGCAGTTCTTCCAGCAGTCCACACTTTCTCTGCTTTCTTTTTGTCATCATCTTCTCCTTCTTACCCATCGCTCCGGAGGGCTTTACCGTACAAACAGGAGAAGTGGCTTAAGTGAAGTTAGACACTGTCATCGTACAACATGCAGTAATTTATAAATGTTTAAAATCGTGTTGGGTCCAGATTAGCCAGCAGGTGGGTCCAGATCCGGATCGCGGTCCGCTAATCTGTGACCTCTGGTCTAAAAGATTGACAAAAACTCCAGAATGAAAAAATAAAAATGAAGAATTTAAAGAGCGTCTAAATAATTACACATCAGAAAACAGGAAGTGGTAAAAGTAATTCAGTTTATTAATATAGCCCCAATTCACAACTTGATTGAATCAGATCACACCCCAACTGGTTAAATGTTTTCTAAGGAAATTAGCCTCAAAATTATCCAAGGCCTCAGGCTTCAATTTCACTGTGAAATTATTTCAAAGAAACAATAACATCAGTTTATTTTAGATCATATTCATAATATTATGCATTGGATCAACAGTTAGTATTATATACTGTAGACAAACAGGAGTAGTTAATATAAAAAGCAGTTAACAGCAGGATGAAAGTCATGAGCTCCAGGTTTTCCCATCTACAAACTGACTCCTAATTTTTATTCATGCATGTTTTCATGATAAAAGGGAAGTCGGAAAGAGTTTTGATAATCAAAAACAGATTAAGAGTAATTATTGCGCTATTCTAATGATAACAACAGATGGCAGCACTGACAGGGTTATCTACAAACTAGAGCAGCCATGACACAGAACTGTGGAAAGGTTCATGCTTTGGCTTTAAGGTTCTTGATCTTGTTTCCTTGTATTTCTGCTTCTAGTTCATGCGGGATCTTCTCCAGGAGTTTGCTTTGAAAGTTGTCATCCAGACAGAGACCAAATACTTCTGCCAGAAGAGGAGAGGAAACCTCCAACATCTTCATCTGGTTGCTGATCTCGACATCCAGCTCTGTCATGATCTTGTCAACCTTACTGATCCCTATGATGTTGATGGTGACTTTCTGGACCTCAGCACTTTCAATCTGAGCAGGAACAGGATGACAGACGGGTTAGAAGGTTTGACCTTAATAATCTAATCAATGAATATGAGTATAAGCTAACATCTATGGCATCTGCTGTCATGATGTGACAAGTTACTCTAAATTTAACCTTTAATAAGGAAGTATGATAAAATAAAAAAGCACTGCTTATAGTTCTTTGCTTTCTTCCTCTTTATAGAAAAGACTATTGATTAATTAAGCAATTAATTATACAAATTAAGAAGTGGATTAAATTAATTAATTTATTGAATTTGCCTTTCAAAAGCATGAATAGTTTAAAGAAAAGGGAAATAAAAAAATACAGAGAATTTATTTAAAATCTGTTCACCTCCAGGATTAAGCTGAATTACTTCTAGTTTAACTTTACATTTACAGGCGACAGAACAAAGGAGAGGCCTAATTTACTTCAACCCGCAGGCAATTTGACCATGTCAGTTAATACGTGTTTAAACACTTATTGAACCTGAACAAGAGACACAACACACAATTTAAAACTAATCAGCTAATTAAAAACAAATGTAAAAAAACATATATAGAGACAAGATCCAAGAATTCTTTCTGTCCAGCCAACTAGATTTTATAGGCTGAGAAAAGGAACCAGCAGAGGATGAAGCTGGAGGAATAAATACTGAGGGTGATTCCCAGAAGAGGCGGAGACATGAGCAAAGAAGAAATACAGAAACAAAGAAAAGCAAGATAAAGTCCAAAGGAACCAGAGAGGATGCAGAAAAAACAGGACTTGATGTTAGGATTCCTCTCTGTGTGGTTTGTGTTTTTGTGTTTGTCTCCCTTCCTCCACCAGGAGGCGCCTGGTTCTGGTCCGCCTCCTCACACACCTGCGGAGGGTTAACTCGTTAACGGAGTGCTCTTAAGCTGCTGACTGCCACTACCTCGACGCCAGAGTGTTTGCCAGTTTTGTCTTTGCCTCTCGGCAGGAAGTCATCCTGCAAACTGGATGTTTTCGGACCTTCTCTCCCTGGAAGGATCATCTGAGCTTCAAACTGAGCTAGGAATTCCTCCAGGGATCGTTTGAGCTTCACTCTGAGCAAGGGATTCATCTCCACACCAACTCGTTCAAGTACCACAGGAAATCCAAGTGGCAGTCAGTTTCTCCGTTCACCTACAAACAACCGCATTCTGGGTAAACCCTGTCCGCCCTCCACTGAATGAGACAAACACTGGAACAACCGCACACAGAGTCTAAGAGTCAACCAATTTTCTGGAAACGTGAGTCAGCAACCTAATTCTTCTCTTCAAATTCAAGAATCAAATTTCCCACTGAGCCTAAACTAACCGTAGTGTCTTCCCCTCACTTTCCAGTTCCGGTTGAGCAGTGTTCAGAGCAACACTAGATTCTGCATTATCTCCTCAATGAACCTGTTAAACCTTTTCCCTGATCTCTCTGAATTTGTTTCTCTGCATGTGGGCCCGAGCTCTTGATAAAATCATGACACTTGAAACCTTTAAGTAAATATTAAAACTTTAATCTTCCAGTCGACCAATAAAGAGGCTTTAATGCCCAGACAGGCTTTGAACAAACTAAATTTCAAACAAATGAAATTAAATTTCAAGCTGACCTTGTTGATTCTGGTGAGGTCTGTGGAGTTCAGAGACACTGTTTCAATATAGCGGTTTGTCTTTAGGTATTGGACCTTAACCACATCTCCTATTGATATCCCATCCAGCTGTCTGCGTTTTTCACTCCACAGGCCGATTGTGATGGATCCAGTTTCATCCTCCAGTTCAAAGTCCAGCTTGTCTCTCTTTAGTTTCTTTATTTTCGTGGGTTCACCAATCTGCATAAACCCAAACCAAGAGATTCAGTTAAACACATTCAGTATGTTTTAACATATTTTAATAACTTTTTTTTTTAAGAGCTGTCATCAGTTGGACCCATAGATCAGCTCAATGATGTGTTTAGGTTCCCTGGAAATCACAACTATGATGTAAAACTGTCACCAAAATTGAAGGGATAAGAGCTGAGAACAGGGGTCCCTTTCATTAAGCAGGTTTATCGAAAACTCAAAGTTGTCTAAACCTGAAAACAGGGAAACTCTTACTTTTCTGGTTGATGCAGAGAGTTTCCTCAACTATGTTTCAGTCATCGTAGTAACATTCTCCCTGGAGCTAACCTGGTCAGCAGCAGGTTTTCTTCAGTAAACTCAGTGTCCTCTGTCTCTGCTCTCCTTACAGCCAATCATGCTGTTTTATTTCCTGATTTAGTTTGATTTTTGTGATAGGTTTGTACATAAAAAATATATATAATTCACTAGGTCCATTAGACACATTAGGTTTTAAAAACAAACAATGCATGTCCGCTTGACGAGGATCTTATTAAAGAATGTTCTGCACGTTTTACAGAGAATAAAAATACTTATAGGGAGAAGATTCCACAACTCACAGGACATGAGATTACTTGTCTTTCGTTTGTTTAATATAAGCGAGATCTGGATCATTTTAATTGGTTATATTTACAATAAATTAAGAACTACTAACATTATTTTCACATTACACGTAAATGGAATAATTCAATGGGTGAACAGGAATTAGTTTAGGGTTAGGATTAGGATTCACTTGATGACCTAATGAGCATTCTGGCACAACCTGAAGCCATTCTATGGGACTGATAGCCACTTATAATGGCCATTTGTCCACAAACAGCCACTTAACTGTGTAAAATAAGACAGAATCAACATGAGGAGGGATGCATGAGGTGATCCACAGGTTCTTTATATTGGAACATTTTTATTCTTTATTTTCACCTGCTGCCAGAAGATTTCACGTAAATAGATACACTGATCTGCTACCATTCAAGAGAAAAATCCCGTAATATTTTGGCTGTAACAAAGCTATGGCAAGCTGTTTTGATATGTACTAGTTTTACTGAATATGTGTTTCTGATATCTGAAAAAAAAAAAAAACTTTTTCTTTGTGTAAATGAGCCTTTCGAACAAAATGACATTCTCCACATCTAGAATAAACATTCTAGAGGTCTAGAAATTAATTTCAGATCTCCATATTTCCTATATTACTGGTCAGCATTTGTATTATTTTAACTATACATTTTTTTCCCTATATCATAAATATATATGCAGTCAAACAAATAAATATCAGAATGGCCACTTAAAATGTGATATATAATATATAAAAAATGTATTTTTACCAGTATAATTTTATTCCATTTTTTTTTAACTTAATAAAATTCATTGTCTGCTTCAAACACGTAATTTAGAAAATATACTATTACAGTTAGGTCTAGGAGTGTAATTTTGATCAGGATAATTCTTATATAAATGATCTACAAATGGAACAGCAGAGAGGAATTCTTAAATAAATGTAAACCACTGAGCTTGCCTGTTCCTATCTGAACTTTCTGTCTAAGCTCTCTGTGAAATCCTGGAACCCTGACCTAGCCTGTTCCTGTTCTGATTGGTATCCCTGATTGGGATTAACAGTGAACACTGGGATTTGGACTCCAGGACCTCTGAACCTTCCTGTTCTGATCTGCTTCCCTGACCTGCCTCAGACTCCTGCTTGCCCTCTGGGACGGCAGCTTCGGTGACACTCTGGGCAGCGCCAGCCTCACCTAGTTGGAAGCCCTCTGGCTCCAACATGTATGGAGCTGATAGAAATGGACTGAATTGATAAACCAGGTAAATGACTCACATGGATAATCATCCTGCGCTCTAGCTTTTATAATTTTTTTTAAATTAGCAATAGTGGGGCTTCAGACAATTTTAAATTAGTCCTCAATATATTGTCTTATTAGCTGTGGATGTGCACTACTTTTTTTATTTCAGTAAATACTAGTCATAGAAAAAGGAATAAGCAAGAAGGTTCTTGGTTTGATTCCCGGGCCTTTCTGCATGGAATTAGCATGTTCTCCCTGTCCATGCATGGGTTCCTCTCACACAGTCCAGCAACATGACTGTTAGGTAAATTGGCTCTTCTAAATTGTCAATAGGTTTTGAGTGTGTGTGTGCATGATTGTGTTTCTTTGTGACAGACTGGTGATCTGTACACAGTGTACCACACCCATAGACTGCTGGAGATTGTTGGGAGCTGGAGATATTCCACCTTTCTCCAGCAGAGTCCGCCGTGGATCCTCTGAGGGAGCCTCCTGCACAGCTGCAGCTCGTCAAGATCATCAGAGGATCCACTACTTAAGCTGTCTTCAGACCTTGCCTCAACGCCGCAGTGTTGTTCCAGTTG